GCTTGCAGGTGTACGTAGACGCAGAGAGAGCGTAGTGCCTACAGATTTGCCACATGTTGAATCTTGAGGCGGGTTCCAGTCTGTGGGGTCCTCCTTTATTCTAGCAGCTACATGCACAAAGCACCACATTGGACAAAGCTCGACGGCATATTGTCGCCTGACCGGTCACAGGCGGTCTACGCTTACTGCGCCGTCAGGACCTTCAGTCTTCGAGTCCTGAAGCCCAAATGCGGGTTTCGGAATACGAGGGTTCCATATCAGTATCCCCATTTTCTGAAGCAAATATCCAAGAGTACTGCAGCTCAGAACCCGCGGTCTTCAAGCTTTTTCCGAAGTACAACTTACATGAACCCAAAAGGAAGACCCCTTTACAAGGGATCCCTAAGCCCCTCAATCAGCATTAGCCCCCTGTCAAAAGCCCAACACACTTGAAGCGAGGCTGAACTGCGCATCCCGACTGAATTGGGTGGTAGGGTGTTCAAGGGCTGTTGAGGGTTTTGAGGGTCAAGTTGTGGCGAGCCGGGTTTCTAGACGAAACAGCAGACCTTATTGAAGCTCGTAGGTTGGAGTGGTGGTCATAGTATTGATCATGCATCTATGCCGGGATTCAAATTCGACTAAATGGGAAAGTTTGGATTCGTTTCATGCCTGCTGTGATCGTCGCGTCATGAGGGATTCAGCATGCAGGCTGCTAGTTCGTACGGCACGTCGTATGGTTCCCTAGGCCAAAAACTTGTGGGTTGGAACTGAGGTGCTTTGTTGCGGAATATGCCAGATCACACAGGGTGTGCGGTCACTGCTGCCTTCGAGGACGACACTTGACGACATCTTGAGCTAGAGTTTCAAAGGCTTCTCCAGGAGCTCAGGAGATACACTGTAAGGGTAGCCATGGGTAGCCCAGTTGACCACAACCTGCTGAATTCGACTCTGGCTTCGCTTGTTTGGGCTTGGTCGTGGTGTGGTGAGACTGTCTGTTCGCTTTTGATTTGGGGTGGGGAGAGGGCATCTGGAATCTGGAATGCACATGTAGCCATCCTGGTCGCTGCTGTGCATAGGGCTCCAGGTTTCGGTATGACAGAGCAAAGCTGCAGCAAACCTTTTGAAAGCCGTGCGATCTTTGCTGTCTGCCTTTTCAAAGAGGTGCCGATGCAGAATGCATCCACTCCCGCTGGCCCATCGTCTGCTGTGTCTGGAAGGGGAGGGGCGTGAGCATGGTCACATCCGAAATCGTTTTGTACCGGCATACTTTACAGTGTGTGGTTGTTGATGTCATCATTTTGGAACTGGCTTCAGAAATTGTGAAGGGATCAGCCAGGTTTTGAGGATCTTCGTGATGCATGGCCTGCACACTGCAGTCGTCAACTTTCAACCTGTTCCATCTTAGTACTGCATCCCGCCACTACACTTCCCAGCGATTGTGCTGTTGAGATGGTCTTCTACAATCAATCTGGCCATTGTGTAAGCGACTTTGCATCTATGTAGTGATGCTGGAGCCGGCAGGGGCAGACAACCGATCAGCAATTACGCGTTTCATATGATGTTTTGAAGCCGCTGAGCTCCGAGTCCTTGTCTTCAACTTCCAGCTAGCGAAAAGTAGTGTTGAAGGAATTCGCAAGAAGAGCTGGTCGATGCCCCTCTCGCGGGGCATCGGCAACTGCCCGGGTTTGACATGACCCGATGCTCGCATGGTCCGAGTGACCTCCGAGTTGTTGTTTCGAGCGTTTCTTCGGGCGCAGACCCCGAACATTGATAGACCACGGACCACTTATAGATTGAAAAGCAGGCCACCACGGCAACCATGACGATCACGAGTGCAACGACCCCGACCAAACCACACCACCAGGACCACACAAGTAAGGACAACCACAGCAACCATTAGACCAAGACGACCGCGACGACTAGGACCACCACCACGATGAGCAGCGCGCCTCGCGTGCCCAGCAAGCTAATGCCTCCAACCACATAGCGTTGCCACATGTTGCCACAGTGTTTGGGAACAACGGCTCACAAGTCACCTTGACAGCCAGAGTATGGCTATGTCGAAGCATCTTGTTGTACGAATCGTTGAGCACTGTACTTCTGTTTCAATTCTAAGCTATGACCATGTATGATTATTCATATCTATGTCTATATCTAGCCCCAAAGATCCACCATTTCCCCTTCCAATGGACCCAGCACGCAGGCTGCAGTGTACTTTCCTGGCCAAAGAAGGCTCAAGCATGTACTAGGACGCCGAGAGCGATTCCAGAAGACTCTCAGAAGACATACAAAGTCGCCCATGCGTGCACTGACAGAGTTTCCTCGAATAATCTAGAGTTGCCAGTACATTATCTGCTATTTTGTTGTCGGATCCAAGATCCAAGATTGCCCGGGGGTCTGTAGTCAAAATCTTGGATCCTGGATCTTGGATGCAGGCCCCGATTGAAATTTCAATCGGTTCAATCGGGATCCAAGATTGTGCCCACAGACCCCTGAACAATCTTGGATCTTGGATCCGCACCCCGATTGAAGTTTCAATAGGTTCAATCGGTACTTGTGCGTGTGTGTGTGTGTGTGTGAGTGCGTCTGTCTGAGTCTCAGAGTGTGTGCGTGTGTGTGTGTGTGTATGCGTGTGGGGAAGGGAGTTGTTGTAGATGTAAGCGTGCTTATGTGTGTAAGAAAGAAGGGGCACATCACGGCGTATGTGTGTGCACAGGACGAAAGAAGGTGGATCTTTGAGGGGAGATGTCATATTTACAGATGGGGGTTTCTGATTGGCAGTATATTGGGAGTGAGTGTGCCTAAGCCGGATCAAGATGACAAAGTTGATGCAGCTGGTTGCTCGTGGACCGCCGTGCCCGAGGGTCCTCGTTCTGAACAAATTACAATTTCATAAAATGCATGAGGACGTGATCTTCTGCTGAATGTTCCTTTGAAGCTCGAGGTTAAGCTACCGTAGCCTGCAGGGGTCTGAGTCTGCATGCCAGTTGTCGCAGAGCTGGTTCAATCTGCCACTTCGAAAGCCCATCGCGGAGTGCCTTTGCTTGGGCACGGATGACGTCGGAGCGTGTTTGGGGGGCTGCAGGGAAAATTACGACCGTGCCTTCTTCAGGTTGCGTTTATATGGTTTAAGGTGGTTTGGTTATCATGCTGTTTGGGCGGCTGTAAGCTTCGACACATTTCTTGTTGCAGCAGTGGTTGAGGTTGTACATGTGGCTTACGCTTTGGCACTTGTGTAGTCAGCGTCGCGCGATGACAGGGAAACGTTTGGGATGAGTGCTGCGCTGATCAGGTGCTGTCGTCCCGGTATCACCCTAAACCCGATAATTAGCCTTACAATGCTGAACCTTCATCACCTATACTTTGGGTTTCAACAACCCCACGCATAGACTGACAGGAATGCTTATATTCTGTCTATATTCTAGAAAACACATACAAACTCTAACATGGACCCTTGGGGTCAAGGCCTGGAGATCGAGGCCGAGACTCTTCCGGGTCTCGAGGCAGCAGGTCAAATCGAGGTCGAGCGCTCTCACATTCACATGACAGTCCTCGCAGATGCTGCACTTCACGGATGAAGCTTCAACATCTCATAAGGCAAACTGCCCTCATAGGGTCAATCTTCAAGCCTTGTGTCGCAGAATCCAAGGGATGAAGCCTTGCTGGGGCCGTGGCCAAAGCATTCGAGCTGCAGCACAGTTGCGAAGTGTATGGAGCGGGTTGAGTCAATGACAAACCAGGTTCAGGAATTAGGCGTTTGCCACTGGACTTAAGCAGCAATGGGCGCCTGTGGCCATGACAGCTTCGTTGGTCCGGCTGAGCAAAAGGAACAGGCCTGCAAAGCAGCTCTGTGAGTCTTGCTTTGCTGCGCAAAGCTGCGCAGCAGATTTGAGGAATCAGACCCGAAAGTGCTTTGGTCGTATTTGTCAAGCTACTGGTGCATTTCTGAAACGGCTCTAGCCCCAAAAAAGTATAACAAAGTCAAGCAGACGGCGTCCCGACTGGAAGCACCCGAGCGAAGGAGATACGAACTTGTCCTGATACAGTACAGTGTCGGGGTCGAGACCGACCGCGTCTTGGCCCCGACGGCGCTGATTAGACTCATTAGACCTGGGTCGCTAGGAGAAGACACTCGGCACAAGTCCTGGTTCTCTTTGCGGTGCTGGCGGCTGAAGCCTTGTCAAAAGCTTGGGGGCTTGTGATAAACTTCATGTAGTCGTCGTCCCAGAGGACACTTCGTGCAAACCCGAATAAGTGCAGAATCAGCAGCATCACACTATGTCACTATTGCAGGCTCTTTGGGTTCAGTAGTAGTATGGTCGCTTGTCCTTGGACCGTTATTGGCAGGCCTTCGGGCTTTGTGGCTTTGACTTTGTTTTTTTAGAATGTGCGTACTATACTTGCTGGATCTTGCTGGTATGCTCTGTATGCCATGTATGCTAGCAGGATAGAAATGGGTGGCAACATCCCACTACTTCCCAATCTCGTCTGATCGTACAGAAACCAGCGATGGTTCACTCCGATACTGAACGGCAGCAGTATATCCAAGTTCGGAAATACGAAGTTGCGTATATACGCACAGCCTCCGAGCTGCTCCTCTTGGAGTCGGGTTCATAGCGAGGCCCTGTCGGAAAAAATGGCAGCAGCAGCAGCAGCAGTTTCGAGGCTGAAAACTCCCGCCTCGATCCCCGACAAAACGCAGAGATGTTTCCGAGACCGGTTTCGAGGCTGAAAACTCTCGAATCTCGCCTCGTCCCCGAAACGACGCCGAAACCAGCGAAGTTCGTCGAAGACACCCTTTTCAGGCGAAATTTCAACCGAAATCGGGCCGAAAATTAAATGGTTCGAACTACGCCCCTTTCCAATAAGCTATCCGGCCCTCATCGGTTGGCATGCGAGTGTCATTTGATTCCCCCAAAACCCTAAACCCTAACAGTAAGGATTGTCTGTTTTGGTAAGTTCAGCGACGGACTCGGCCAAACCCTAAAGCGCGACTTGCAGCAATCATGTCGGAAGCATGCATGGCTGTGTGGCTGCGTCAGGCTCCAAACAAGGTAGGCCACAAGCGCACAGAACTCAGACGCGGTTTAGGGTTTGGGGCTCACGGTTAGGAGTCCGAAACGTATCTCATCTACATAGACAAGCTCATAACTTATGCAGCTCAACAATCGTAACTCCCACGGAAGACAGAGAAATGCGGCCATGCAACCTGGGTTCGTGCCTTGGTGGCTCTCAAGGGATGAAGCATCAAGGTGCATGCAGATGCATACACGAAGGGTTCCCAGCCCTGGAGCCCCGAGTCCCCTTTTTGTGTTTCTTTTTCTTCTTCTTTTTCTATTCTCGCAGAGTTCACGCAGACTTTTCTGTAACCACAATAATATTGCAACAACAACGACAGGCAACTTGCAAAAGCAATCAGAACAACCTGGGCAGAACAATTAGACAACCACGGGTGTAAGGGCAATTTATGTAAGAGTTTTTTGTGCTTTTTAAAGCCCTTCTTGGGCCTGTAAAGGCATTTCAGGGCCTGTAAAGGGCGTTTCAGGGCTTAGGGTTTAGACCTCGCAAAGGGTTTGCGATAGGGTTTTTGAAGTATTTTTACAGACTTGAGAGACGGCGTCGTGAAGGTAAGCTTTCGCTAAGTCGTAAAATCCAGGACTTCGATTTTCTGCGTTGTTACGCGTCGGGTGGAACGTTCAGGTGTGAGACGTACCTTCTGCCAGACTGGTAGGTGACATTAGGAGAGCATCCGAAGATGGTCAAGCACCGAAGGGTTTACGGTTTAGGGTCGACTGACTTACAGCGAGTAGTTGCCAAGGCTCTGCCCATGACCACAAACAGGTACAGTTTCATATATTGAATCGGAGAATCTGTCACTGACATCGATTGAACTTTGAGCCTTGGGGCGCTTAAGCAGGTTTGCAATGCTTGTTGGGAAAGGACGGACCCGACTTGACTGACCCGACTTCCAGCAAGACAAACATACAGCGCTTCAGGCTCGGCCTTAATGAACAAGCGAGCGGTTACTGTGTTCTTACTATATCACACATTCCAGACAGCCCAGGCAGACACAGGCTTTGAAGCGACCCACATGCACACGCTTTGCCCGAGCCAAAGCAAATCGCCTCCAATTCCGCGAGCCTCAAGGTTGTTACTCTTCTTCCTTGTCCTCTTTTCCTCCGTGTCCAACACGCAGGTAGCGCCGCTGCAAGGAAGCTACAACATGAGTTAGGAGTCGGAAGTCAAGAGTCGCCGCACAGAGTCATTTCAAATTGGAAGAAGCCCAGCCCCGAGTGCCAAAAGAGGCGAACTGTTGGAGCACGCTCTCCCCGAGTGGCTCCCCACCCTCCGAGCGCTACGGCGCCGCCGGCGCCTGGAGTTCTGAGGAAAGCCGGCTGCTGGGACCGCCGTTGGAATAAGGTAAGTCTCAAAGTTGAACGTTCGGGAGATTTTTGGGGAGTCCTCCTAAGGCCATCCATAAATCAGGGGCCTCTAGGAAAGCAACTAAACCCTTTCTGTGAAGGTCTTTTGGGATGTCTGTGTTGATCCTATCTTCGCTTCTTCCGCTCAGGCTGTACATCTTTGGAGGCTCCAACGGCTCCTTGGCAACCATCTTAAGTTTAGGGTTTAACCCTGACCAAAGTCCAGAGAAGATGGGAACGGCCAAAGACATTCCAACCCTGGGTCCAGGATGGGCATCTTGGTCTGCTCATGTCATGTCAGTTGGGCTCAATGCTTGGTAAAAACGTCGCACGCTGCAACTCCCTCCGTTGTGTGGAAACCCCTAAAGCTCTGAGCCTTGGCTGCTTGGTGCGAGTGTGAGAGTCGAAAGCTCTAAGGGGTATAGGGCTTTACCCTAAACCCGAAACCCTAAACCCTTAACAGATGCGTGAAACCTCGCCTGGCATGTCCGAGTCGTGAGAGCGTAAACCCTTAACAGATTATGAAGCCATTGGACTTTGGAATGGCTCTAGATCTAGACCCTAACAGGGAGTGAGGCCTTTTTACGCTGGTTTGTTGGCTCTCTGCGTTATAGTCGCAGGCATGGGTAACCGGGTAGTTGCACTTCTTTTGCCTTGTTTCACGCCGACTCGTACCTATGAACCTCGCCTGGCATGTCCGAGTTGTGAGAGCCTAACAGGGAGTGAGGTGCGGAAGCTGACGCCTCAAGCGTTATGCGGAAAACCTGTTCTGCAAAATTCAGGGTTCAGGGTTTAGGTATTAAGGTCAGGTTAGAGTGAAGCAACCCCTGTGAAGCCAGTATCGGAAAATCCTTTGGGGTGTGCCTGCCAGATAAGTGCACAGTGCTAGCCAGAAAACCAGCCAACGTGAAAATCGGCCCTGAAGCCAGTTCAAACACGAGCTTGCTAGACGCATCTCACAGTGCTTGAAGAGAGGCCCCTAAACCTTGAAATGACATGGCACAACGGAAAAAAGCGCAGTCCTCCTCATCTGGCTTTTGCAATCAATGGCCAGTTATCCTGCTTTTCTTGTTCCCGGACGTTCTTCTACAGTCCAGCAATGGGCTAATCGACTCAACTCCAATTGTCCCTGAGAGGTTCGAGATCACGATCGCAGAAGGAGAAGAAGGAGAAGAAGAAGAAGAAGAGAGAGAGAGAGAGATATGGCAAAACTCATGTCCGTGCATATCGGATGTGATGTTAGTTTACTCTGTTTGCTGCAGATTCCGATATGCCATGCATCCCAACTTGGACAGTCAGGCATTCAGGATGTTCCTCCGAGGGTTCGTCTAGATACTAGTTTTGCTTTAAAGCCTTGCCTTTGTGTTGACAAACGGGGGAGCGATCTTCTGTATGCTGTTAATACTTTGTCGACACCGGGGGACACGTTGCAGAAACTTTTCACATCCTTCCAATGCCCCATAACACATGGGGGGGGGCTGGAGCCCGAGGGATTGGACAAATCCCTCAAGCCCTACGGAAGAAGATAGAGAGAGAGAGCGAGAGATTTTGGCTCAAGCCGTGAGCGGTTCAAGGGAGAGTGACCTCGAAGCCACTTCTTCTCTTCTCGCTCCCCCCAGAGGTCACTTCTCTCTCAACCAAACAACTCACCTCTTTGCTCTTCCAACTGATTGTCCGCCGCGATTGCTGCAAGAGACCTACGGCAAGATTGTGCACCTCGAGCTGCCCGCTAGACAGGGGGAGATCGTTGTGCAAGGTTCCCCATCGGTGACCGCAGCTGTGCTCTTCCTTCGGGACTATTGAAACAACATCGTCAAGGCATTCGGCGACCCTTCTCCGTGAACCTCGAGGACGCAATCATCCGGGCGGGGGGAACACCTTCTGCATCCACTGGTTTCGGAGCCCTTGCTCCTTGCAGCAAAGCGTAGTCGTTGGTCCTGACCCCAGCGGCAATGGCCAAGCAGGCGATGGAGACTGAATCCCCTGCCCGCAAGAGGGGAGTTCCCCCCGAAGAGGGGCTCAGCTTGGAATCAATCCGCGAAGTTCTCAGGACGGAAATTCAGGGCGCGGTGGGCGGAGTCACGGACAGAGTCGCTGCCTTGGAGCGCAGTCTCCAGAGCCACAACGAGCGCACCTTTCAGGCTGTGGAGACACTCTCCACAGGGCAGGCCGAGCAAGGCCTTCAAATTCGCCAGCTTGCCACCGACTCTAAGGCCATGGCAACGAGGCTGAACAACCTGGAGGGAACGATCAAAACCATCCAGTCCTCGGGGAGCACGCCCTCGACAATGGACTCAGGACGAGTCCCGGCCTTGGTGATGGGGGGCTGGCCCCCGGATACCCTTGCTGCAGATGTTCTGAACAAAGCCAACGAAATGGCTCGAGACCTTCAGCTCCAGATCAATATGGCAGATGCTTTCGTGCCTGGTGTCCGCAGGGGATTTGTGTTGGTACCTATCGCACCCATGGACGGCGAGAATGAAGAAGCTATGAGGCAAAGGGTGCAAACGTGCATTAGGCGGGTCAACGCCTCCAACATTTCATTGGGATGGAAGCCGGACGGCAACCCTGCTAAGCTGTGGCTCACCTTGAGCCAGCCACCAGAACGGCGCCGGCGAGCGGCCTTGGCGGGGAAAGTAAAGAGGCTTATCATCGAAGCAGGGGGCCCATCCCTCATTGCCCGCATCGAGCCGGAGTGGGCGACAGGCACCGTCTGGTTCAAGGACCATAAGATCTCGTCAGGGACATCAGCCGGACCCCCGGGATCCAGCATTGCAGGCTGTGGCTGGATCGACATCCCAAAGATCGCAGAACTCATCGGGGGGGACCCCCAGCAACTGGCGAAGACGTGGGAGCCGCTGCTCGCGGCATTGCGCTGAGCTGACAGTGACCTTGAACAGGGGGTCGACCCCACAATGTTTCACCATTTACCAGTGCGGCCACCAAAGGCCTCTCAACAAGGGACGCCGCATAGTAGGCCGCAGGACTCCTTGCATGTGAGCACTTGGAACCTAGGAGGGATGAGTCCGGAGACCACTTTGGACCTACTCTCCAGTTTCCGGGGAGAACAACCCCTTTCCCGTCTGCGCGTGGTGTTTCTCCAAGAGATCACTACTCAGGGGGGACCTCACTTCCTTGACAACGACACGTGGATGCTGGTCCACGGCAAACAACCGAGTGAATGGCGAGGGTGTGGCATTGCCTTCCAGAAGACGCTGGGGGTCCACCATAATTCCCACCTCAAGCTTGCTGCCTGCACCACCTGTTTAAAGTTACATGATGCCAAGACCCTAGGATTGATTTCGGGGCATGTTTCCCATAAGTTCACCATTGCAGAGACAGCCGCTGCCCTGCAACAATGGGGGGAATCCCCAGCGTGCCACCAACCCAAAATTTTGCTAGGCTTTGACGCGAATGAATCGTTCTTGCAGCCCGGTGATCTGTTGGAGGACGAAACCCTCTCCTGCACGGGGCGCGGGGAGCAAATCCTCACATGGTGCACGGAGCAAGGGATCACCCTGCCCCCTCAACGCTGTGATAAGCCCAGCCACTTCCCCTACAACCCTGACCTCGCCCCACGGAGGATCGACTACGTCGCGTCTAGACACCTCCGGTTTGTATCGGCCGATGTAGGTGCGCATAGAGACCGTGCCCGATCGGATCATGAACCGATCCTGGCCGAAGTTGTGCTCCCCACCCCGCAAGGCCCCAAAAGCAAGGTCATATGGTCGGCGAGGCAACTCAAACTAGACTGTCATGAGGTCTTGAGCTCAGCGGATCCAGTCTACGCCGATCATCACCATGCCATTGCTCATGTCGCCAGGTTGATCACTGAGCCAGTGCATCGGTCCATGAAATTCCAGGAATCACCGGCACTCAAGAAGCTTCGAAAAGTTGCTAAGGGGGCCACCCCTGGACCGGAATCACGCAGTGCATGGAAGCTTGTCGAGAAAACGTTGAAGCAGGAGCGCAAAGCCTGGCAACGCGAGCTTGCCAGCAGGGCGGGAGCCCTCGAGTGGAACGCGTATCGAGCAGTTAAGCAAAAATCCTCCCGCTCCAACTGGGCGGAACACTTGCTTGACAAACCCGATTGGGAGGACGCCTTGAAGAAACATATGAGCACAATCTTTGCGCAAAAGCCACCGGCAGACACTGCCGCAGCTATGCAGAGCATGCGAGACGAAGCCACCAGGCTTTGCAAAACCTGCCCGTGGCGCCCCTTCAGTGAATCAGAGATGCGCATAACTATGTCCAAATGGAAAAAACATAAAGCCACCGGCACAGACGGGATAGCCCTTGAAGCCCTTCAACTTTTGTTCGAGGATAGCTACTGGCGCCCCCGCATCGCCGAGCTCATAAATGACAGCCTATACCGGGGAGACATCCCCGAGTGGGTCTCTGAAGGTGCTTCCGTGCTCCTTCCCAAAACGGCAGTGCCGCAAGGCTGGTCCGATACTAGGCCCATCACGCTGTCAAGTGCCATCCTCAAATGGATCGCACAACTCCTGCTGCTGCGGGGAACACCCGCTTTGCTCGACTGTTGCCAGCACCAATGGGCGAGCCGTCATAAGCAAGGCGTTGAACTTATCTTAGCTATGCGCAAACTTGCCCGCGTCGCCCACGAATGGAAGACGCCTTTCTACATAGTTAAGATAGATATTGCTAAGGCTTTCGACTCGATCGCACAGGAAAAGCTAGGTGACCTCGTGATGAGGAAAATCGCAAGGGGAGGCCTCCCCTGGGAAGCAAGGCTATGGCTGAAATTGCTGGAGGCAAGAGAGCTGAACTTTTACGTTCAGAAACACAAAGTGCCCGTTGCCCAGACCAACGGGGTGAGACAGGGCAGCCCTGACAGCCCAGTCTTGTTTGCTGCCGAAATAGGGGAAACCCTTGATGCCGTTTTGCACAGTGTTCGCGGGGGGGAACCCCCCCACGTAGGCCGCCACCATGCCCTAGGCCCGCCGCCGCACTCCGGGGCAGCGTTTATGGATGACACCTATGTTTGGGGAGAATCCCCCGAATACGTGCAGGAAGTTCTCCAAGCACTTGAAACCAAGTTCCTCGAATTAGGTCTGCGCATTAATGCCAAGAAGACGCATGTCGTCTCTAGTATCCCAGATGACCCATTCAGGTTCTACATAGGAGGGGTCCAAGTTGCCCCAGATGGTCCACACAGCATCATGACCATCCTAGGAGCTCCCGTCACGCTGTCCGGGGCTATTGCCCCGTTAGTCGCTGAGATGCAAAGCCGTGCTCGCAAAGCATTCCATGCAAATAAGAAGCTCCTTTGCTCTAGGGCCCCAATCAAGGACCGCCTTAAGTTGCACCAGTCCCTCGTGCGTAGCGCAGCGTTGTGGGGATGCCCAGCCTGGCCCCCACAGGCAGCTCTTCTACAGGCATCAAATTCGACGCAGCTCCTCCAAGCGAGAAGCATGATATGCGGGGGCCGCTCCCCCACAGAGTCTTGGCAAGATTGGCACATCCGCTCGCTCCGAAAGACGCGAGCAACCTTGCATCAGCATAAGATACAACGGTGGTCGACACATGCGCTACAGATGCAGTGGCAGCTATGGGGCCACATCGGCCGAGCAGTGTTCCAACCAACGTTTCACATCCTCCGTTGGAGAGACCTCACCTGGTGGCGCGACCAACAAGCACTCGCCCCAGGCCCCCACCCGAAAGGGGTCCGTCATATAGGTCACCATAATCCACATGTTGACCCGGAGAGGCAGATCTCCGCCATCGCAGGCAACCAGTGGTGGATCCCAGCTCAAGACCGCAACAGGTGGCAACACCTCTGCAAAGCCTTTATCGTGACCTTTGACCCGCCGTGGGCCAGTGGCAACCAACTCGCTCTGCCAGGAGCCCCTAACCTTGCGCCGAACAAGCGCCACCCGGTTCAGCGTGCAGCCCTACGCCTTCCAAGTTCTCACCCCCCGCACCCAGGTGCAAATTCGGGGTCTAACCTCGCCATAGCCGCGTGACGAATGACTGCCCTAAGGAGAGTTAACGGCTCCTCGAGGAACGACGCCGAACGTGCCACTTTTCAAGCCCATCACATGTTTTTCGGGTTCCTTAGGGTTTAGTCCCCCCCCCTCTTTGTTTCTTTGGTTTCCCCTTGCCGCGCTAACGTTGCCTCCATTGCAATTCAGGTCAATTGTGTCACCAGACCACACCATGCCATGCCCATTCGATGTCGAATTTGCCTTAAGTCCACCCCTCCGGTTCTCTTAAGGCCTCCTAAGTTTAGTCTGCAGACAGCGTGCAGGTCTAGGGTCAGTCAAGAACTTGCAACCCGGGATGTAAGCTTAGCCGTTGCTTGCAAAGCGTGCAGTTGAGAGTTTGTGCCCCTGAACACCCCCAACAGGTTGCAGTGGTAGGTTGCAGGAAGCGGTGTGCCACATCCGCCCACTCTCTCAGGCATGAGCCATGAGCCACTGCAGCTTGCGTCTCAAACCGAGTCAGAGCATAGCAAGAGTTTGCCGGTGCAACATGTACCGACCAGTGCGAGGTCCCCTTCTGGACCGCAGGAGGAGCTCCATGTGCTTCGTCGTGCTTATGGCGAGCGCCCTTTGCTGCCTCCGCAGCGGAGCTGGGCCCAGCCCGGCCCCGGAGATAATCATCGTCGACTCCGACAGTGAAAGTGACATGTCTGACATGCCCTGGGCGCCACTGGAGCCAGAACCACCACACCAGCCCACCATTGTGGAAGCGGACGAGGTGACGGACATGCCGGTGCCTCCCCAGGGGAGTCTTCCCCCCTTGAACGAACCGCCAACAATACAAGACCGACTACCACGACGAGGAAGGACTCAGCGACAACCTGGAGACCAACAACCCACCTCCTCGACGGCTGCTTTCCCGGGGTTGCGAGACCATCAAGGCCGTGCACAAGGACAAAGCCATACCTACGTTGGCGGGGGGACTCAGCAACAGCTCCCGCAGCCTGCACAACAACACCCAGGGCACATGCAACAGGGTGGAGTTCCCTACTACCAGACCACGGCCCAGATGCCGGTGGCTGAAGACCGCTATGCCACCTATAGGATCGGCTATGCCCAGACGTACGACCCCGCAGCTGATCCTTGGCACGAAGATGGCATGTTTCCAGGAAGGGCAGGGCAAGTACCAATCAGCATGCCCTACGACCCATGGGAAGATGACCTTGACCAGCCAGCCCAACCTGCACAACAAGTACAACCGCCTCCGGGAGGTCACCCAGGACAATACTACGTGCCGCAGCAGCAGCCGCATCATGCACATCCACCACCCAGGCCAATGCAGAACCCGCCACAGACCCTTGCGCAAGCCCTCCCGCAACAACAGCCTCAGCAGATGATGCCAGGAGGAACGGGGCCTCCAACCGCTCCAGGTGCTGGTCACTTCCAGCCACCCACCATGGACCCGTGGGGTTTTATAGCGCGGCATTACGCATCGCAGGGACCTCTCCTGCCGCCGAGCCAATGGAGCCACAATCTGCTCGGCCTGGGACAGCACCGGCAGCAGTCGCATGCCACGCCTGTGCCACAGGAGGAAGCTGCAGACACCACCTGCAGTACGGACGCCGCCTGCGAGGGGGGCGACCCCCTTGACGAACAGGCAGATGAGAGGGAAGTGGAGCCAGAAGCCATGGAAGACACGGTGGAGGAAGGGGAAGCACCCCTGCACAATGAGGCCGACGACGAGCTCACCGACGTCCCCGAGGACGACCTAGAATGGGACAGCGACCAGCCAGACACTGACGAGGAGGAGGAAGAGCTAGCTTCGGCATCAGCAGATGCACCAGGGGCGAAAGCCCCCAAGCGGCCAGCAGGACATGGTTCCCAGAGGGTGGCCAATAAAGCCAAGAAATCAGATGTCAAGAAGTTGTGGCGAGAAAGGAACTGGGGCAAGAAACCGAAATGGTTGAGCTGGCGAGCAGCTCTCGCCTACCTCCAACGAGACGAGCAGCCACCAGCCAGAGAACCACTTCCACCAACACCATCGCCACAGCGCGAACATCTCCGAGCAGCCCTGGCGGCCCACCACTACAGCTACGATGACCAAGGGAACCTTGTCCCTCACCACCCACGCCCGCAGCAAAGTCAGGCGGCCCATCCAGGCGACAAAGCCTCGAACCAAGCCAGAGCAGACCATGCTTTGAGAAGGCAGACAAACCCGTATCTACAACAACAACACCCACCATCAAGACAGCCCAGCTCAGCAGCCGCCTCCTCAACGACCGGGGGCCAACCTCGTCCACCACCACCGAAGACACAACAGCACGCTACAACATCCCAGCCGAAAGCCCAAAGCCAATTGCCGCCACAGACACGACATCCACCACACTCTGCGCAACCACAACAGCAAGCCACAGCGCAGCAGCCGGCGCAAGTAAAAGCAAAAGGACCGTCGCGACCACCACCACAACCACAACCACAACCACAACCACAACCACAACCGCAACAACAACAACAACAACAACAGCTGCAGCAGCCACGACAACGGCAGCGAGTGACCTTCCAGCTGCCGGAAGATCATCGCGAAGAACCACCCAAGCCCATCCGGCGTCAGTTCACTTGGCGACGACTCTCAGACAGCACAGAGGTGCAGCTCCGCGGGGACGGAGTCGCCAAGTACCCAGTACAGATCATCGACAATCGTCCCATCCCGGCTCAGGGACAGGCAGGGGGCCAACCCCTAGACAACGCCGACCTGCAGCTACACAACCACTACCACAACGTCATCGGCGACCTCTTGGTGGTGCAACCCACCCACATCACTGACTACCCGCACGTACCCGGCTCAGCCTCGTCTTCCAGCTCGCGCGGCCCCAGGGAACCGCCGCAAGAAACAGGGGGACCTCCCCTGCCGGACATGACGGACCTGGACCAACAAGCTGCGGAAGCTATCAACGCAGGCCGAGCCCCACCTTGGCGCATTGAAGGAGATGGCCCCAGTATGCGGAGCAGCGTTAGAGTCGACGACAACAGCCATGACCTGTCATGGGTACAAGGGGTCACCCCGGCGACACTGCCGCCGCCGATGCCACTTCACCCACGTACGATCCTGAGCATGCGGGGCACGGCCACGGGCTCATGGCGAGGGACAACATGGTCGCCACCTAGCAACTCCGTGGTGCGACACCCAGCAAGGCTCGATGTTGAGCCTACCTTGGTGATCTACAAAACACTGGCAGGGCGACCAGAACGGGGGATTCTCCCCGATGGCATCCACATGACCATCCACCCGGCAGGAGCCTGGATAGCCACCACCCGATTTGAACTGGGGTTTGCTCGTACCCCAAGATACTGGCTCGTGGAAGTGGACTACGCACCACCGCCTGGGCCGGACCGGATGCAGCTACGTACAGGCGAGAGTTTCTGGCTTGAATGGCGAGGCGAAGAAAGACAATGGCAGCGCAGACCAAGGTTCCACAATGACATCGCTGTTCTCGGGGGATTTCCCGATATCCCACAAGCTCAAGCTCCCAGACCGCCGACGCCACCACAGCGGAGGGACCCTACCACGGCACAGAGCAGCAGCCAACCAAGGCAACGGGGATTCAACCCGCAGTACTTTGTGGACACGCGCCCACTACGGGGAAGGTTGATCCCCACTGCAACTCCAACGTCGACTGCACAGGAGCCATCGTCATCTACTGCCACGGACAGCAGTTTTGGGAGATCGACCCAGGAAGAGCATGGCCGGCCGAGAGCGAAAAGCAAAGCAAAGCCCCCTCAACCACCGCAGCCGAGCTCGGGATCGGAAACGGAGACCAGCTGGCCTAGTGAGGACCCGCAACAGAACCATGACGATCAGGCCCTGCTGCAATCCTTCGTCAAGAACATCGCGGCCCCTGCAGAAGCCACGGAAGACGCCGAGGATGTCACCCTCATGCAAAAAGGGCGATCACCTCCCAGCGCTGAACCCGGCAATGATCGTGCCACGAGAGAGCCAGCTAGGGGATCGACCCCACAGGCACCTGAAGCCTTGGACGTGCATGGGACAGCCGATGACACAGCATGGTTCTCCGTCGCTGCCAACTTTGAGGGCGACTTCACAGTGCATGGGTTGCTCAGACTCCTGCAGAAAATCCTGCATGAGATGCTGCAGCAATCTTTCACGCTGCCCAGCGACTACCTCACCAGCCTCGCCTACCACGCCTGCTACTACATCTCCAAGCTGCAAAGCACCCACGATAGAAACATGCAGCCAACCACAAGCACGGGGGAAAACCCCGCCTCACAAGCTGCAGCGGGACCGACTGCCATGGTTTTCTGCATCACCAATACCTTTGTGGAGGCCGAAGCAGCATTGGAGAGCCTAGCTCACCACCACGATGAGCTCCCTAAAAGGCACTTGACAAAGGAACTCCAGAGGGCGGAGGCCCTGCTCAGAGATGGCCGGGCAATCTTCAAGAGTTGGGCCCGGGACCCTAATGCTCCAGGGGCCTTGCCGGGCACAGCAGCCTCGCAAAATGCTCTGGATGGGGTTGGATGGTCCTTCCTGGCTCTGGAAGAGGGTGGTACCGCTACCCTGGACGAAGTCCTTCATAATGCATGGCTGGCTACACAGCGCTGCAATAAATACATGGACGAGCTCCTAGCATGGATCGAGCAACAGTTTCAGGACAGCAATGCGAGGGGGAGTCCATCCCCAAAACGTCGACGGACGGAAGTTGCAACTGGCAGCCTATCGCACCCAGTCTTTGTCAACGAGGAGCAGGGGGGCAACCCCCCGACACTACATTCGGGACGCGCCGAACCTCATGCCGTACCGGTACCACCTGATGTTCGACCGCGACCAGATCCAGCAAAAGACCACCGAGCACGCAGCGGACCAGAACCAGGCCCAGCGCCATACAACGTTCTGCGGGCGCAGCAAATCCTTGAGGGAGTGCTACCCTTCACAGAGCAACAAGTGGCGTGTGCCCTCCAGGAGGCCCACGCATACCTACTGCAATGGACCAGCAGCCTATGGGGTGAGCCCATTGTGCTTACGGACAGCGCAGAGAGCAGTGGCCAACCTGCCTCGCACAATAACCTGGGAAGTGGAAGCGCCATGACAGATGACAGGGGGGCATTACCTCCCACGCTGCCTGCAGCCAACAGCTCCGACGATGCCTCCACAGTGACGTCGCACCGCAGACGCAGACTACACGCCAGCATCCTCGACTGAGCGGGCAAGTGAAAAGCTGAGACTTTCCGAAACTCTTCTGAGGGCAGGGGTCAAACCCCTTGAACTCAATTCGGGGGGCTGTTTCCGTTCAGGTTCTTTGACTTCAGAAGGTTGACGATGGGGGGTGGGAGGTTGTTTCTGCAGGTTTTACTTGGACATCCAAGGAGCAAGGGTTCCTCAAATATTTGCCTTGAATTTTGGTTACTCATAGTTGCTCCCGTAGGGATGGAACCCAGGCCCGAAGTAGTCAGCCCTGACAGGGGGCTACCCCTTGATGCAGTGCTGCAGCAACTTCCTTTCAGGTTCCTCGTTGTATTTGGTAGGTCCCGTCAGGCTTTACTTTGAGTACTTCGGGAGTTTAATCCCATGAAGGTTGCAAGGCAGCACGGCTCACCAACATTTCGCGATAGCTGAACCTGCAATAGAGTCTCGGGGACTTTAGGCCTCCTTCTCTCTCTGTTGCTCTTGTTTACCGCTTTATGTGTATTGTATGAAATGACTCCCGAGGCTCCAGGACAGGGCATCTCAAAGGGGACACACGACCCTCCCCCCTCTTTGAGGAGATAGTCCAATGAGGCGACCTGGGGAAACACCCAGCCAGCCATGTCAGAGCACAAGGCGAACTCGGCAGTCCTTTACTTGCAACCTTTTACAGTGGGGTAAAGCTTCGTCCGGTGCCCAGATTGCCTTTATGTTGCTCTGCTTTGCTTTCACAGCTCTCCCCGTAACATACGGGGGCGCTCGAAGCGCGCGATCGAGGGGCAACCCTCGGTCGTAACCCTGGTGAAAGAAAGAGAGAGAGAGAGAGAGAGAGAGAGGTGTAGAGGTAGAGAGGTGTGTGTGTGTGTGCCTGTCTGCCTGTCTGTGTGTGTGTGTGTGTCTGTGTGTCTGTGTGTGTGTGTGTGTTTGTGTTTGTGTTTGTGTTTGTACATATACACATAGAGAGGGAGATCGAGAGATAGAGAGAGGGAGAGAGAGATTAAATTAAAGGGACAGGTGCAAGGAAGAGTGTATGATTCGCGCGAATGGAGTGTGCCAGCGGTGTGCGCAACCCGCAGGACATGCCAGAAGCTTGGCTTACTAAACTCATAAGTTTGCTCGCACGATGAAATCTCAGATGCGTGGCTCTCCGCAACATGTCCATACTTACAACTTGGGGATATGATTCAAGCTCCTTCCGCAGCAACGGATTGTCGAAGCTTCTTTGATAGGGTAGTGCCTTTCCTGTTTTTGACTTTTTGCCTCCAGTACACAACCGGCTGTTCGAGGGCCCACAGATGACCCGGGTGCTGCCTTTTCAGTGGTCACGGTTTTAGGAGGGGGCGTTTTGGGGTCGGGTATCAAATCAAGGCACATCCGGAGGAATGTGACAAGCACTCACCCCGAAAGGGGTCGCACAGACACTCAGACCCACGCTGCAGGGGGTTGGCCCTCGGGCCGGGGTTCTTCCGAAAGCCCAAGCAAGCAAGCAAGCAAGCGAGAGGGAGGGAGGGACAGGAGAGAGCGATGGAGGAGAACGAGACAGAGAGAGAGGGCCACACACGTCCGTAGCTGGCCACGCGCTTTTGTGCAGGTTTTGCGGTTTGGAGGCTTTCGCTGCGTGCTGCGAGGATCGAACTTTACTTGACTGTCCTAACTTACTTGGGGGAGGGGGGTGGGGAGTGGGGGTGGGGGCGAGAAGGCTGACTTCGTTCTTGCGCTGCCAACCTTGTCTGAAAATAGGCTTTGAAGCCACGCCTGCCAGCAAAAGTCAAAGACAGTGCTCGGGCTTGGGGAAGCCCGGATTGTAAAGACGGAAAAATTGGGCTTTGAACGCATGCTGCCAGCAAAAGTCAAGGCCTCTGAGAATCACATTCGGGAGCTGTGTAGAGAAACGTGCGACGCCCTAAGTTTCAAGGCTACATGGTTCCTGAAAGTCATGTTCACCAGCATGTCTGCACTTTCTTGACTTTGCTGGCAGGCGTGGGTTAAGAGCCCATTCCACGTAAACCTGGCTACCGAAAACCCCTGCGACTACTTATGTACGTGTGACCAGAGAGGGAGAGATCGAGAGAAAGAGAGAGAGCGAGAGAGGGACTGAGGCCATGGCAACTCGGGCAAAGGTTTTGTAACTGCTCAATTCGGAGGGCGCTCCGGCTGCCGTTTTTTCAACAGAAACGTCACGGCAGAATTGGGAACAACACTGGCCTTGCCACGCCGCTTAGGGTTTAGGGTTTAGTGTAAGGTCCAGATCCTGATGACAAGCTCAATGAGTTGCACTTCTTTGACAGCCAGGCCCCCGTGCCCTGCGGAAGTAATTTCTGCAAGAGGGCCAAACTTCAATAAAGCTTATCAGGCCAAGCTTAGGGCTTTACGGTTTAGGCAAGGCTGTACGTTGGTTACGCCATTGTGTTATGTATGGATTGGCTATCTGTTCCTGACAGCTTGTACACTGTATTGAATTCTCACTGCGTCTTTGCAAGCGCCAAAAATGACACCACTGCGAGTGTGAGCACCTGAAATGAACCCTAAGCCCTAAACCCTATGTCTGGCGGGATGGGGCTTTCATTGACTGTCTGGCACGGTCCACCAAGGATCGCTTGCATGAGCAACTCGATGCAAGCGCCTAAACCCTAAACGCTGTCTGGAGATCTTTTGAGGCTATTTGCAAGACACAATGCAGCAGCCCCGAGGTCATTCCCAAATGTTGGTATCGACTGCTTGCGATCGGAGACTTTGAATCCAACTATTTAATCATCAATCCCGGAAGGGGAGGGACGGAGGGGGGGACGCCCCAACTCCTTTGCGGTGTTCCTGCGCACCCCTCTCTCTCCCCCACCTCCCCCCTGGCCCCAGATCCCGGATCCCTTCCCCCCCCCCCGCCCGAGGAACAAAATTGCTTGATTTTGTTTTGCGGGAAGATTAAATATTTTGAATAATTAAATCTGCCCCCCCCCACCCCCGCAAAACGACAACAACAACAACATACAACAACAACAACAACAACAACAACAACAACAACAACAACATACAACAACAACAACAACA